TTTGTGTCTGCACTGACGTGGTTCGACTCAAGGCGACGTGCAAGAGCTCGTGAGCGAACTCGAAGTCGTACCCGAGACCTTTCACGAGATTGCGTACGGCGACCTGACGCTCAAGGAGGCGGTCGGTCACGGCCACTTTGGCGACGCCCATCGCGCCAGTTACCTCGGCCAAGACGTATGCCGTCGTTCCAAGCGTCTGCAACGATCTGATCCATCGAATCGTGTAGGTGGTCGTCAAGACGCTTCGGCCGACCGAGTTTGGCGACAACGCCGACCAGATTGTGGCTGCGTTCCGGCACGAAGCCGCGGTGCTCTCGCTGTTTGGACGCCACCCCAACATTGTGCCGTTCGTGGGCGCGTGCACGGACCTCTCGCACCCGCTGAGTCTCGTGACCGAGTACCTTCCGTTCGGAAGCCTCGAAGACCAGTTTGGCGCGCGCCGATCTCCGCTCTCGACGGATCAAAAGACGCGCATCTTATGTGACGCAGCGTCGGGCTTTCTCAACATGCACGAAGGCGGCTTTATCCACCGCGACATTGCGGCCCGGTACAACAATTCTCATGCATACCAATGTACTGACGAGCCTGTGTGTAGCAACTGCTTGGTCGACGACCAGCTGCGGGCACGGGTGTGCGACTTTGGTTTGTGTCGACGCGTGCACTCGTACGGCGGCGGCCACTTTGCGGAAGGCGCGATGCCGCTCAAGTACCTCGCGCCCGAGTCGCTCACGCCACCCCACTCGTTCTCGTTCCGGTCCGACTCGTACTCGTTTGGCGTCCTCATCTGGGAGACGTTCACCGAGTCCAGGCCGTTTCCGACAATGACGAGCGCCGAGGCCGCGGCATATGTGCTCGAGGGCCACCGCTTAGAGCTTGGCGAGACGATTCCGACGCCGTACCAGTCGCTCATTGCGCGCTGCCTGCAAGACGATCCGGCCAAGCGACCGTCCATGGCCACCATCGTGCAAGAGCTCACCCACGCGATGGCTCGGAAATGATTCTTCGCCGCATGTAAATTATTCAATCAAAGTCGTTGCGAAATTCGTGAAATGACTGGAATTGGTCGACACAATGCATATCGCCAAGTGGAGGATGTGCAAAGTTGACGCAAATGACTTTTTTTGGATGGTCGGAACACCGGGCTAACGCTCACGACGAAGCGGAGGCCTTGGCAGTCCAATTTATGTATGTACTAGCGCACCCAGTGAGTTGCCGCGTATGTGAAGTGAGGTGTTGAAAAGCGCTTTATATGTGTTATCGACCATTGCGCACGTTGTACGACTGCAACGGTGACACAACGTGGTCTGCTCCGCTCTCCACAGTGACTTCTATCACTGTGCCAACTATGGGCGATTCCATTTCAAACTTGATTTCGTCGACCAGATCGCACCGGCGTCCAAAGCCGACAAAAAGGCACTACGATCTTATTTCTGGCGTTTGGCCACAACTACATCTTCCATCGCGCTTGCTACCGACCGCTATGCGCCATCTACTGCACGCGCCGCCACTGCTCTGGACACCGGACGAGCGCGTTGCAGCGTTCGCGATGGGGGCACCGTCCCCGTCTCGACCAAGAACCTATCCCTAATGCCACCGCACGGTCAGCTAACAAAATATGTACAACCAGAGAAGGTAGCGCCGCTGTCAGAGGCGCATAGCGATAGCAAGCGCGATCGAAGATATAGTCGCCTGGTACAAACTGTCGCCTGCATAGATACCCACTGTGCCAGGTATACTAGTCGACTCTATTCATTCCATGCGTTCGTACTAGTAAGCTCCACGTGCATTGGAGCAAGACTGGGTTGTCTTTCTGAAGGATTTCGTCGTCAAGCGTTTGGCTGGTGCTTGATGCAAGGAGCCAACATGGTTGTGACGTGGCATGGCTGTGGCGGCAGTACTTCTTACGGGAATTCGAGCGAGGCGTGTGCATACACACCACAAGTCAAACCGATCGTGTCCAGTGGGATAGCCAATCACATCGCACGCTTTCCCGAAAGATCGCCAGATTCGTGCGTTGGTTGCGAATGCATTCAATAAACCTGGCATTCGCATACAAAACGCAAGACAAGATTAAAATTCCGAATTACAGGATTCTCAATTCTCGATTCTCAATTCCAGTTTTGGTGA